ACATCGTGTAACCTGGGAGGGGAAAAGGGGAGAGGGCGGAGGCAGATGTGGAAAGGGAAAAATACTCTGTCTATTTCGGGTTTCGCCCTCTGCCTTTCTCTCTATCTCCGAAGAGGGCTTAATATTATTTTGACCTTTAAAAAATATGGTATTGCATTTGTGTTTAGGAAGAAATTTCCATTAAGGATAAACCTCGAGATCAGCAAATCCAAAAAAATTCCAAAGGCATGCCCTATTAAATGAATACCACAGTGTGAGGTAGAAACCACGTTTACGCGTGATAACTGGGGTTTGATAAATATGTGACCTGAACAACTTTTTACAGCAAACAAGAAAAACAATTAAATAATTATCTCCCATTCATCCTGAGGTCAATACCACATAACACCCAATGAACCCTGCAGATTAATTCCATCAAATCTCTATTTGATACATTTTGATACATTTGATATCAGCCAGTCTTTCTTTATGGTGTGAAAAAGGCTAAATTTGCTCAATTCCTTCAAATCAAACTTGTTTAAGTTTGTTAGCCATCATAATACGTTTGATACATTTGATAACTTGAATTTAAAAAAACAACCAAACAGTTGATCAGAATTCTGGGTCAGATATTTTATTTGCGCATGGAAAGCAATAGACCCTGATGGACTTCCGGTTTAAATAGAATGAGGAAAAACAGACGCCAGTTTGATATAGTGTGCCCTGAAGCTGCAATTAATCGCCCTGCTCTGATCCTATCTGGTCATACAAATCGGGCCCATTCGACTAAAGCGCATCCGTTGTAAAGTATAAATAATATGGCTTTCAATTGAAACAGCAAGGAATAATACTCAGATCACAAGAATGTCATGAACTATTTACATTCTACATTTTTAACCTAGTGTTGTGAGAAAGGATTTTATCTTAGCATAATATTATTACACTTTCACACACAAAAATGTTAATTCTTTATTAATTATTTTGGACAAATATGTTCAACGTGCTCTTCACAGTCGGCACTTTATTTCAGGCGTCAGGTTCTGACGGGTGGTTGGGGGGCGCTACTGGTAAGTCTTCTTTTGTACTCAGTTATTTCTCTCTATCCTTCGCATTCTTTCCGAATAACCGTTATTGTACCGATGTGCTTCTCTTTACTCAAATAAACAATGATAGTTCTGATGCCAAACTAGTGGTATCTGATATCTAACTGTAAGGTGCTTCGCCGTTCGATTCGTCTGTGGATAAATGTTCCCATTGAATATTCTAGTCTTTGTGCAAAGGCATTGTATCCTTTCAGTCCGGGTTGGCCCTGACAGGTAGAGTTGAAACCAACCTCCTTAATGATCTAAATCGTGTCTTTTCATTCAACTCTTTTCTACATTAAATTACTGTTACTGTGCTATGTTTTATATACAAAAACAAACAAAGCTCTTATGTTTGACTAACCAAACATGACGAAAGCAGCTATGACCATGAGGTAGAGCCCGGAGAAAGAGACAAGATCTCTCCCCGCCCTTTGTAGCACTGTAGCTATCATCGTGATCCGCTGAAAAAGAAATGGAAACACGTCATCAAAACTTAAAAATAATATTACAAAAACTTGGTTAGAGCTGCAGTCAAACCTGCCTTGATGGCCACCTGTACAATAAGGCCACCGGTAAAAACGGACATTTTCAATTTACCCTCTTGTGGGTTTTTTCCCCAATATTATAACACTGCGAAATACGATACTCTGCCCAACGGTGCTGCGGCCACTAAATGGCAATACAAAACTCTCATGGCTCGACGTTTGTCATAAAACTGTATTACATTGGTTCCGGCTGCTGTCGACAAATCGACATAATCCATTCACCTGTCTTGATTGTCCAATGAATGAACCTATCATGTTGCGTAGGTCCCTAGCACTGCCAGTCGGTAATAATTTTCAACTGCTGGTGAGGGAGATGTGTGATCCGATACAACATTAGATCTTAGAATTAATTAATATGCTATATGTCCACCCACAACTCATACACAAATCATGTAATGAGAGAAGAAGTCGCTCTGAACACCCAGCCCATAATTTGGACGTCAATATGAACTTGCGACATGAGTGTCACTCGTTCACTGAGTGGTTCCTCATTTTGTTTTGATTTACTTTAGCACAAAACCAGTAACCAAAGAAAACTTACTTACTTTTCTCTCTCCCTATACCGTGAGGCACATAAGGCGGAGAGCATTCGACGCCACGCTAGCCTTTGTTTGACCATGTTCTCAAATTTTGACATATCCAGGCCCTGCGTGATTGTCTCATCTTTATTGTGCCTCTATAGCTTCCAGTTGTTCTTCCTTTTTCCAGTTGGCCTCCAATACCAAGTCTGATAGGGCAATCTTGTCTTTGGCATTCTTTTAACGTGTCTTAAATTATATCTCCATCTTCTCCTTTCTATGATTGCGTTGATATCTTCAATTTCAGCTCTTTACAACAGTTCATTTATTGTAATAGATTCATTTCATTTTATTAGTAAAATCTTTCGAACTCATTTAGTTGGGCAGCTTTTTAATTTTCGTTGAATGGTTTGGTTTGTTTTCCAATATCTCTGAACCAAATGTCAATACAGCCAAAACATTGCTATTGTATATTTTTTAAAGTTCGTCTTCACTTTCTATGATTTCACAAAAGCAATTCATGCTTTTGTAAGTCTTTGGTGGACGTTGTCAAGGCAATTTGCTGTTTTGGATACAGGTACTTGAATTTACTCATTTCTGCAAGATGTTCTTCCTAAAAAAGTGATGGCTGTAGTATGACAGTCGGAACACTTCTGTTTTAGGTACATTTATTATAAGGTCAACTTTTTCTGTAGCTTTTGTTAGTTCGTATTAAATTGCCTTTCATGAACTGAGGCAGATGTCATCCGTAAAATCAAAATCTCCTAAATGTGTGAGACGTCATCCAACGTCTGTTTCAATATTCTTGCTCTGTCTCATTACAAAAACAATCAAAATTCTAAAAAGTACAGGTGCTTATATGCAACCTTGTCAAACTCCAGTATTTACTTAAAAAGAAGTAGAGAGTTCTCCTTCAACTAGGACACGGCAGCTTGCTTTGGTATAATGATCTTCAAAAGTTTGGGGGTTTTTTTTGCCATTTTTTTAGGAGGGGGGGGGGGGGTGTGATAACATAAATTGCAATTATTTTCCACTGGGCCTTCCGGTGTCAAATACTTTTTTTAAGTCCCAAAAAAAGAAAAACTTAACAAGAGAAAAAAAAAGAAGAAGAAAAAAAAGGAAGAAAATGGCCCCCTCATGGCCCCCTAAACCTCCAGTTGGGGTCTCCGAAATTAATGATTATAATTTCTTCATTTTATCATTCCTGCCTAAGATAGTCACAAAGTCTATAGAACTGTCAAAAAGTCGTGGTCCAACTTAACTTGAAATATCTGTTTTACGGGTGAATCAAGGTCACCCATACATTTCACAGCAGTTTATATTAATTTGTCTTAACATAGTTATATTTTTAACAACTAAGGTTGAAAAAAATAACACATTTTTCGTATATATATGTATTTAAAATACTACAAATATCCGTCGAAAGGAAAATGGAAGTATTCACAGCATTTCCCACTTCTCATACACTTTGCTTACGAATGCGGTCTACGTTATTGCTCACCAGTGACACATTTTAGGCCTAGTGGTAAAACTTAAGCAAACGCATTATTACGATCTCCTGATAAATGATGTCTAAGGAAATTGTAAAGATAAATTCGGCTTAATACTTATAACTAGTCTGGTGAGAAGCAGCAGAATGGCGAGGAGGAATCGTGGTCAGATACTGCGACAGGAAGGTACGTTGGTTTGATGTCGTCATTTTGGCTTTATTTGATACCGGTATGAATGTGCATTTCTTCAAACAATCTTAATAGATTATTACAAACAACTTTCTATATACAAGTATATAACAGACGAGTAAAAGTAGTGAAGAATAGTGTAACCCACTCCTATCCAGTAGCGTTGTTCTGGTGCCAGTGTGTTTTGGTGTGAACAAGAATAAAAAGTAATCATCCATAGTTGGAGGAACCGAGTAGAAATTAAGTTTTGTTCTGCACCATTAATTGCACTATAGGTTATCAAAACATGAGTTCCATAAGCATAGTGCCAAGATTATAAGAAATTGGACGGACTTGGTTTTAAAAGTGCCATTGTCAGGGCTGGCTCCTAGGATGCAAGCCTTTTAAAACCTGTAGAAACCATCGACTGGGATTTTGTATTAGTATTTTATTAAAGGATTTTGTGGTTTATAATATTCATCTGTTAAGACAAATTGATATAAAAGTCACTGTGTTCTATGGTTTGGGAGATATTTGACTATAAGTTGTGCCAAGATATTTTTTACCTCACTATTGCCACTTTTCACCTCGGCAATGGGTGGCCGTCTTACACAGGTTCGACTGCACTTTTATTTCATTTTAAAAAAGAAAACCCCCTGAAATGCACACATATAATATGTGCAGAAGGAATAGTATACATTGTGAAGCGCATAGAGCTTGCTGTTGAGCAGGAATTTGCTCTATACAAATGCTGTCTATTATTATATTAAGTGAAACTATTCAACAGCGGGGATAAGATAGGATAAGATAAGATAAGATAAGATCTGATCAGATCAGATCAGATCACATCAGATAAGATAAGATAAGGCACACTTCATTGATCCACCGTATGTGTGATTCTGCATGTATGAATGTATGTATGTATGTATGTATGTATGTATGTATGTATGTATGTATGTATGTATGTATGTATGTATGTATGTATGTATGTATGTATGTATGTATGTATGTATGTATGTATGTATGTATGTATGTATGCATGCATATGTATGTGTATGTGCGTGTGTGTGTGTGTGTGTGTGTGTGTGTGTGTGTGTGTGTGTGTGTGTGTGTGTGTGTGTGTGTGTGTGTGTGTGGTTCTTTTAACAAGTAGTATTGCAATTGTTCGAACTGAATTTTACAATGGAAGTAATATATTAATAGGTATGTTATACACTATTTATGCTGAGATCAGTTACGATAAAATACATGTAATACGTGTAGTTAAAGTAAAGTTATTCCCGCTTCCGATCGGACATTGGGGATTGCCGTGTTAGTGAGACAATTTCCTGGGCCTTCCGCATATTGTGGTAGGGTGGCCAGTTCCTTTCCATGCCGCCTTTACTTCCCCAACTCGAAGTCAGGTACCCATTACTGCAGGAGGGGGCGAAAAAAATTCGTGTGCGAACTGAGGCTCGAACACGGACTTTCCGCTTCGGAGACGAGCGCACTAACCGCTCCGCCACCGCTCCCTCACAAGTAAGAAGAAGAAGAAGAAGACGAAGAAGAAGAAGAAGAAGAAGAAGAAGAAGAAGAAGAAGAAGAAGAAGAAGAAGGAGAAGAAGAAGAAGAAGAAGAAGAAGAAGAAGAAGAAGAAGATAGCTGTTGTAAAAAAAAAATCCTTTCCCCATTTTTATAAAATTGACGCCATAGGAATTGTAGAAAAAGGGGTGCATGATATTGTTAGTTATATATAAGCATGTTAGTTTAATTTATAATGATTTCTTAAAACTGTAACCAAGTTTTTCTTTCAAATGTATAAATTATATCATACAAATCAATTTAATGTTTTCGAACAGTATTTAATTTTCACAATTTCAACCAAAATTGGCGAAAAAGGCACATGTTCAGCTACAGAATTATGAACTAGGATTTGTCCTCCACAAAATGCAATCGGGAAATCATCTCAGTAGTGAAGATAGAGTCCATGCACGCATGTTCCAACACACACACACACACACACACACACACACACACACACACACACACACACACACACACACACACACACATACACACACACACACACACATCAAGCAGTCGACGATGAAACCAAACTCGTATCCCCAAGTGACGTTGCCCATCACGCGCTGAGCGACAAAACGGGCTCGCCACGGCGTGTAACGAAAGTCCAAAGATTGATTGCAATATCTTGGTAGTAGAGAATCTTTGCTGCTGCTGCTGCGGCACTACTACTACTACTACTACTACTACTACTACTACTACTACTACTACTACTACTGCTATTATTACTACTTCTACTACTACTACTACTACTACTACTACTACTGCTATTATTACTACTTCTACTACTACTACTACTACTACTACTACTACTACTACTACTACTACTACTACTACTACTACTACTACTACTACTGCTGCTGCTACTCTACTACTAGTAATACTAATCATCAATATCATCATCATCATCATCATCATCATCATCATCATCATCATCATCATTATAATAACAACAACAACAATAATAATAATAATAATAATAATAATAATAATAATAATAATAATAATAATAATAATAATGACAGTAACAATAGCGACAACATTCCGTGCCTGGTTATATCCAAGTATCCGCATAATCCTGAGAGTGCTGAGAAACACTAGACAGGCCAGCAACCAGCCAAACACGTCATCATAGATGATCAGAGCGTAGAAGTTGACAAACGCCTGGCAGGTAGAAATGAGTGAACAGTTTGAGGGCGAAAAGAGACATTCTTAGGGCATAACAGTGGCAAACGCAAGGGAGACAAACATTGTTAGCTTTAACTGTATTTGAATGTCCTTGGAACCTCGATAAAATGGTGTTGATCAAGCATTTATCCAAATCTTTTTGTTGTGGTTGTTGTTGTTCAAAATCAGCCATTCTAAACAAAAGAAATTATCATGGAGAACCAAAACAAATTCTCAAAGATAACATCTAAGGCAATATGATAGTTTTGTTTCAATAGGCGATACAGACTTTTGGCTACTCCGGGGAACAGCGAAATCTGACGTCATTGTTTCCGGGGAACGGCGACCGGGAACAGAGATAATATATTACTATTTTTCCTTGTTTCAGTTTCACTTAGTTTAATCGCTTACAATGCCAAACACAGTTAGACCAGATTCGTTACATTTATTTACTCACTCTGCTATTAGGAAATTGATGTTTGTTCGTTTGTTTGTTTGTTTGTTTGTTTGTTTGGGGTTTGTTTGTTGTTGTTTTTGTTGTTTTTTGTTTGTTTATTGTTGTTGTTGTTGTTGTGGGGTAGGGGGGGTTGAGGGGGTGTTGTTGTCTTGATCACGAAGTCTTTACTTGCGTCTTGATTAAACTGTTTGCAAAATTATAGAAGCTCTTTGTACACCCTCTCTTAACTCTTTAATATCGCAGCGGATATATTAATGTCAGAACAGCAGAAAAACAAAGATTCAAATCAGAACCACGAGTTTGCATATTTCATTCTATGCTTGCTGGTAAATACTTATTGAAATTGCAGATGACGAAGAAAAAATTTAAATAATGATATCTTTTGAATAATAAATTAAATGCCCACGTATTCAAATGTTGTAGAATGAGCAGAATGAGATAATAAACTAATTTCTTTCTGTAGTCTCTGGACTAAATCTTACATAGACATACATGGGATCTGTGCATCTAAATAAAGAGAATGGTTTCTTTCGACATCGTACCGTGACTGTGCAGTGTACGGGGTTCGTCTTAGAATAAAGTTTCCCTGTCATACTGTTCCCATATATTATTGTAAATTTCGTTGTATTTGGTATCAACAGAAAGGTTCTTTAAATTCAAGGTAGGAATCATCAAGGTCCAGACATTTCTCCATTCGATGCAACCAGCGGTCAAAGGCAAAGTCTTTACTTTCGATTGATTAAACTGTTTACATAATGATACAAACTCTTTTTACACCCTCTCTTAACTCTTTAATACAGCGGATACATTAACGTCCGAACAGAAGAAAAGTGATCGTTTGTCCAAGGTCCTGAGTGCTTTTCTTATAGCCATCTGGTCCTCGTCAGTTACGTCAGGTGCGACTGGCCAGCTCAGTATGATGCCACTCATGTAAAAAAATACACTGTGCATCACCTTTCTCTCCCCGTATTTTTTGTGTGGACTTTCTGTGGCCTCGGCTTGTCTGAATCAAGCCATTGAGCTGACAGTCTTTTCAATTCGGGATCAAATGAGTACACCCAAGTTTCATCGGCAGTGACGATTTTACTGAGAAACTCTAAACCTTCTTGCTCAACACGGGTAAAAAAAGTGCCGAGTCGCTTCAACACAGGCCTGTCAACAACAAATTGGGCACCCATTTTGCGAAGACTTGTTTTTTGCCCAGATTATTTGTCAGTATTTGATGAACTGTTGCAGTGGACATACCGACTACTTCACTTATTTCCGTGTATGTTCTTCCCGTATCTTCTTCCACAACAGCTTTGGTTATCTCTACACTGTCGTCACAAATAGCGACTAGGGGCGCTTCATCTTTCATGTCAGACCTCCCACCTTCAACCTCCGAGATCCATTTTCTAACGGTTTGAATTAGATGGAGCAGTATTCCCTATTGCTTTGCATAGATCACCATGGGTTTCAACTTGCCGAGAAGAGTTGACAATTTTATCACAGACACACAGAGAGAGAAAGAGAGCTAGAGAGAGAGAAATATAGACAGACAGACAGACAGACTGACAGACAGACAGATAGACAGACAGAGGTAAGAGGGCGAGAGGTAAGGAGAGGTAGAGAAAGTAGGTGTGTGTATGTATCAATGTGTTTGCGTGTGCATGTGTTGTTTGTGTGTTTGTGTGTGTGTGTGTGTGTGTGTGTGTGTGTGTGTGTGTGTGTGTGTGTGTGTGTGTGTGTATAACGGGATAGCACGGATTGCCACCTTGACTAATAGTAGACTGGAAAAGACAAGAAGCAAATTGTGGCCAGTCACGCCTCGTCTAGATCTGTATTGCGCGTTTGCCATGAGAAGGAGAAAAACGAGTAGCAACAAATTACATGTACACCTCAAGCGTATACTTTACGTAAATTCAAACTACTCTTCGGTCCTTGGGTCGCCCTAAACATGCTACGTAGACTGAGCGCCAGTACTCACAATATTAAAGCCTCACCCTATTGGTCACGATGCTGATATATTATGGAGACTGCAGACATTTTCCCAGTAGGCCAAGGTGGTGCAGTTGATCTAAAGTTCCTGCAGGAGACTTTATGTGGCTTAAGTCTAAAAATTAAGGATAGTATTTTCATCATATTAATCAGTACAAATCAGAAGCAAATCGCCGACAAGCGCCAGAAATAGGCCACCCTCATGGTGTGGGAAAGGGATTATCAAGCAGCTACGGAGTGTAATGTGTACCTCTAGCGGTCAATTAATTCCCTGGCGGTATGACGCGGTAAATTTATACAAGTTTAACAAGGACCGTACCACTCAGACAAATACTATGTTTATATATTTTTATATAGGCATTCCTTTTCGTACAACGGCAAAACATGGCGGTAAGCGGGGTCGGTGGTATAACGGGGACGATACAACGAGGTTTCACTGTCTGTATATATATAATATTATAAATATCTCCGTCTGCCTCTCTGTCTATCTATATATTTATGTATCATTCTATTTTTGTCTCGCTTTCACTTTACCCTCTCTCACCTTTGGGTTGCCTCTAAATCTCCCAAGAACTTGAGACGAGTGCACTGTTCTGATGATGAAGAAGATGATGGCGTTGAGGCTGATGAGGACCATAAGCAAGTCGATGCCTCCCCACCAGCTCATTATGAACGACCAGCGCTCTCTGGCGATTCCTTTGAAAACCTGTTTGGACGTAGCAAAACGGATGATTATACACGACGCTTCCAAAGTATTTACAACAATAAAGAGAAACTGATTTATTGTTTATGTTCAATGTTTTGTTCTGCTGTTGATATATTATTATGTTAAATCATTTAAGGGGCGGGCTGATGTTTACCCTACCTGTTGCAAATACAGGTAGAATTGCAAACACCGCTCTTTCAGATTGACTTTCACTACAAGTTTCATGATAATGATGATGATGATGATGATGATGATGATGATGATGATGATGATGATGATGATGATGATGATGATGATGATGATGATGATGATTAGTATTGTTATTATTATAATAATAATATATTATTATTATTATTATTTTTATTATTATTATTATTATTATCACCATCATTTATGTTATTGTAAGTAGTAGTAGTAGCAGCAGCAGCAGCAGCAGCTAGTAGTAGTAGTAGTAGTAGTAGTAGTAGTAGTAGTAGTAGTAGTAGTAGTAGTAGTAGTAGTAGTAGTAATAGTAGTAGTAGTAGTAGTAGTAGTAGTAGTAGTAGTAGTAGTAGTAGTAGTAGTAGTAGTAGTAGTAGTAGTAGTAGTAGTAGTAGTAGTAGTAGTAGTAGTAGTAGTCGTTGTAGTAGCAGTAGTACATTACTATTAACATACTTATTTTTTATTAGTGTTGGTAATGATACTAGTATTAACACAGTTGTGCTCATTATCAAGTTTTACTATCACTGTTTTTATTATTACCGTTCTCAGTATTACTGTCATTATCATTATCATTGTGTAATTATGGAACCTAATTTTTATTGTACCTCTTACCTTGAAAGTGAAAACAAAAGTTGTAATCACAAGGATAATGTCGCACAGTAAAATGTACACTCCGAGGGGTCCAATGTGTGGGTAAATCCTCAAGATACGAATGTCTATCCAGGTGTTCGCAGAGCCGTAAACTGGGAACTCGGCAGCCAGCCTGAGAATAAAACCTTGCATAGGTTATTTCTGCATTGAGAACGAGTGTTACTTTACAAATGGTCACTGGCATGTTGGTATTGATTTGTGTTTAATTTGTGTTTTGTTTGTTTTTGTTTTTGAGGTTGTAAATGATTTTACGCTCTCATCGAAGCACGTTGTTTTGGTCTTCAGCATTGTGGGATTGGGTTTTCCCCCATTAGGTATGATTTTCAGCCTGCAACGAGGGAGGGGAGGGAGTGAAGTACTTACTGAATATAACAGACAGAAGGCACAACCACTTCCCCATTCTGTAAATCTTTTCTTTTTTTCGATATCGTTATCATTATCATTTCGTGCTAGACGAAGCTCAAAACAAATTGATAACGTGCATTCTGGTCACTTGACAGCACATAAAGACTATTGTTTCAAGGCGCTTTAAACAGCAAAGCATACCTTTGTTATTCATATATTTTCTCACTTCTGCTTTGTCTCTCTGAAATTACGAAAAAAATGCATTCAATGAAATATGCAAATTTGTGTTTCAGATCCGTGTATGTTGGTTTGGAATTACCACAACATCTCCTTTGGTTTCCTGCTGATCGTACAAAACATGTGCCTGCCATGTCCTTAAACTGTTAAACATTGCTCATAAAAATTGTAATAATTGTAATACTATAGGGATCTGTAGTGTTCCTCATGAGGTGTTAAATCTCAACAAAAAGCCAAGTTCACAGTATCTGTGCAATTTCGGTTAGCCTCTTTGCCGCTGCAGTCAGAAGACTGCAGTTTGATTCTTGAGTGGTTAAGCTTTTCACCGAGTGTCCGTCTTGTGAAAAACTATGTTTTTCAGCCTGGGTTAACTGTCACACTTCCAAGATCAAATCGATTGCACGTGTGTCAATTGGGGCGTAAAACTTAAAATAAATCAGTTAGTCATGAGAGGGGTGGGGGGAGGTCAGGACAATGTCGCGTTTCGGATATCCGAATACCCATTCCCACAAGGGTGTGTAAAGTGAGGAGAATTCGTGCAAAGTGCCTTTCCCAAGGCACAACGTTGGACCCTGACGAGATTCGAATCCACGACCTTTTTTCTAAAGATTCAAGGCCAGATCACGAATGGTATTCCGTATCAATCCCTCATCACACGCTGTGGGATCAGTGCTCAGTGTACTCAGTCTTACTGGATCAACTTTTATTTTAACAAAAAATCTAAATTTTCGCCCCCTCCTACCCATCCAGCATTAATGGGTACCTGACTTCGAATTGGGGAAGTAAAGGCGGCGTGGAAAGGAACTAGCCGCCCTACCACAGTATGCCGAAGGCCCAGAAAGTTGTCTCACTGATAAGGCAAACCTCAATGTCTGGATCGGATGCGGGAATAGCTTTACTTTACTATGAACACAATTTGTCTAAGAAAGCATCGGTTGTGTTTCTCTAACTTTATCCCCCACGAACCTCCTGTGAATATCTGAAGTCTCCACGAACCCATAACTTTTTAAAGTCATGGTCTTAGCCCGAATTATACGAGTAAAAGTATAGTACAATATTGTAATGAAAACAACATTAAATTATCAAATTCATTTTTTTTCTGAAGATTCAAGGCCTGATCACGAATGGTATTATGCATCAATCACTCGTCACCCACTTTGGGGTCAGTGCTCAGTGTACTCACTCTTATTGGATTATTTTAACCAAAAAAATGTAAAACAAAGCAGCAAACAATAATAATAGTAAGTTTTATATTTAACTTGAAGTCTAAGATAAGAACATTGAAAACACCAATGCACCGGTGTTTAGTCCTAGACTGCGCGCTGTCATGGCCTCCGTTCTTGCTCTCTCTAAAAAAAACCCATGTCGCATCGAAAAAGGCTCACTATGGCGCCAAAAGGCAAAAGAAAAGTCTCACTATAGTCGAGAGCGTGTGGCACCTTCCCTGCTTGCCCTTCATTAGGCCAACATTTAATCAAATGGTACGTTCTATAGTGAACTTGAAGTGTGCCAGTGTGCACGGTCTAGGACATTATAATAAAAGTCTATTTATCTGATCGTCATACCTGATACTTGCCAAAAGATTGACGTTGACGTTGTAAAGAGAGAATTCCACAAACACGGCCCGCGTCTGGAGGTCAAGCCAACGGTTGGAGAAAAGCTCGCTAATGAAGTTTTCCTTGATGACGTCACGGTTCCCAGACAGGTCTGTAATGTACCCACCTCCGCTGTATACGTTCAGCTTGCCCACTACCGGGATGGCATTTTCGTCCAGAGTCGACCTAAATCATAAGTCTGATATTTTAACTTTTTGACAGGGATTATTTTTAGAATTATGTAAATGTTTATACGCCCCCATCGCTTCAGTGCATATCGTTAAGGCAGCAGCAGCAGGCTTCGACCCTGTGTGTCATAGCCAGCTTGGACTGAAAGGGGCACAATGGCCTGACAGAAAGACCGAAATCCTAGATGAACATTTTCCTCACAAAGGACTCGAACTCGCGTTTTCTGTATGGGACAGCAAAGCGGCTGTTTGTATCCACTTTGCGGCAATATAATCAAACAAAAGAAAAATCATACTGAATTGCGGTAAAACATATTTAAAAAGGACGTACATTGCATCCAATTTGTAACAGTACTTTTGCGACAGTTAGTATCATCGATAATGCATTTTTCTAAATTAACATGAATTGAGATATCGAAAGCACTGGGTGCCTGACAGCTTGGAATCCAAACCAAGTGGGGGGAGACTGTAAACATTAATATTTTTCTCTACCAACCTCAATTTAATGTAGAGAGAATGTGTTCATGCAAAGCTGGAAGGCCACACTTTATTTCTTAGCACCAAAATCTACAATTAAGTTATTTGTTTTATTTGTTTTTTCTTATTTCCTAAAAAGTATTTCATTCAAGGATTAAAACTATTCAGTTTGGGGACTCACAACCAATTACATAATCATTGAAATGTCAAATCACAGTTTTGTTGTTGTTGGTGTTGTTGTTGTTGTTATTGTTGTTGTTGTTGTTGTTGTTGTTGTTGTTGTTGTTGTTGCTATCGATCCAGAAACAGCTGGGCTCTCGCCCTTCTATCCCATGCCATGTAGGGATATGTGCAGGTTTGTTGTAGTAGCTGTAATGTTCCGTAGAGTGTGTTGTCAATGTTAGGTCTCGGAGGGAGAAGTGTAGCTCTGGTGTCATTTAGGGATGTCCTATGGAAAAGGTGATGATCCACAGTCTCATATGCAGTCCCACAAACGACACATAGGGGGATGTTCTGGTTTTTTTCTGTTCAAGTGAAACTTGAGCTGATGTTCTGTTCGTAGGCGGAAGATCAAAGTCTATTTCTTTCTCTATCGGTGGTTCCACAAACACGGCCGGCGTCTGGAGGTCAAGCCAACGGTTGGAGAAACGCTCGCTAATGAAGTTTTCCTTGATGACGTACGGTTCCCAGACAGGTCTGTGATGTACCAACCTCCGCTCTATACGTTCAGCTTGCCCACTACCGGGATGGCATTTTCGTCCAGAGTCATTTCGTTTTGTTGTTGCAATATTATGTTTGAAAACTGCTCTGCTTGTCTTTCCCAAGACCCATCTGTTCATCCTTTTGTCTGCTGTTTCCTTTTAAAGACTAGTTTTGTTTTTATTAGTTGTATGTAGTAGGCTGTTCTTGTCTATATCCCCCTTCGGTGAGAGTGTTGTCTCCGTCAGTTCCTGGGATATTTGAGTGTCCGGGAATCCACTGCATCACCAGGTTGAGGCCACAGGGTGTTATCAGGTGCTGGGAGCCAAACAGTATATGTGTCAAGTCTTGGTTTTGACGATGGTCATTTTCTATCGCTTGCAAGACTTGTAGTGAGTCGGTGAAAATCACAATACGCTGCGGTTTGTTTGGATGAGTGTCAAAACTGTGAGGAGATGGTATAGTGCTGTTTCAATTGCTATCACTTCTGCATCAAAGTTGTTGCATTTCTCTCCACAGGCTGCAGAGATATCATTGGAACTTTTACCTGGATACTGTATTAGTATTCCATATCCGGCTTTGGTTGTGCCTTTGAATGCTAAGCCGTCTGTATATACGTGTATCAAGTCAGCTGAATAGCTGTTTATTGTTTGATGTGATGCAAGCATCAGCGTCACTAGGTCTAAAGATATTGTGCTATTGTCTCTGAGAGATGTTGTAATGATTTTTTCCAAAGCAAAGTGAGGAGGGATGTTTTGGTTGCCTCTTTTGGTTTCTCTTCTGTTTTGTGGTAGACGATAACTCTCCATTAGTTCGGTGATTTGATGCATGGTTGATTTGTGTTGAAGTCGTTTCTTTTGTTTTCATGTTTGTTATAATTTCCTGTTAGGGTGGTGGGGCTCCAAAACTGCTTTATCCCTGCAAATTCCCAAGGGTTCAACATTTGAAAGAATTTCATAATAATATACAGCTGTAGGTGTAGATCTCATGCCATCGTTTATGAAACGAAGGGCATTATTTTGGTCCTTGTCAAGTAAGTTGTCCTACACATAGTGAGTAGGCTATTGCTGTGTTCCAGGGACGATCGAACATAACCAGGGTATAGTGCGCTCAGAGTTTGTTTGTCCGATCCCCATGAATCGCTTGCGAGTTTGTTTGAAAGTAGGAGTCTTCTTTTCGTCTTGTTCTTTATGCTCTCTACTTGGCTTTTCATGATCAGATTAGAGTGAAAGCAGGCTATCTGAAGGACTATTTTCAAAAGCTAAAAGCTCAAAAACATTCATTCAACCTATGAACTAATTACGTAATTACGTATTTGTAATAGGAACACAAATCTTAAGAAAACGACGCTAGCTTTTCTTGAAATTTAAATATTAATAATTCATTATTTATAACATTAAGATTGCTTGAAAATTAGCAAATGACAAAAACACTGTCAAAATAGCAAAGTAAAAATTTTTTTTTCCTTAAAAAATTAGAAATAGTTAGCATCATTTTATTTGGAATTACACAGTGAACTTACCCTTCAAGTTTCAAGTCTTTATCTTTAACGGTTTTGTTTTTTTAGTTTTTAGCTTTTAAAGCAAAAAAAAAGAACATTTTGAGGAAAGAACAAAAAAAAGTCTAATCGCTGGAAAGCATTAGATTGGCTCACAATATGCTAGTTTGTGAGTGTGTGTGTGTGTGTGTGTGTGTGTGTGTGTTTGTGTGTGTGTTTGTGTGTGTGTTTGTGTGTGTGTGCTATTGTGTGTGTGTTTCTATTTCCGTGTTTTGTAAGTAATAGAGGTTGAAAAAGCATACTACCTGTGTGACCAAGACGTCTGGGTAACTGACTTAAATTGCTCGTCGAGAGAACACGGCAGCGGTCTCCAGGCAAGGCAGTAGGTCCCTGTCTCTTCAGAGCTTATGTCGTAGGTCGGGTAGAATTGTTTGTCTCCCACCAAATTGCCTTCGTTACTCAGCCCCGGGCCCGTCATACGGTTTGTGTGGATCTCTGGAGTGGGGACTGGAGACAAGATTTATTTGAACTTGTTGTTATAATTCAGCGAAATAATACTAGCGGTAATGAAAAAAGTGTATCGGCATCATCATCATCATCATCATCATCATCATCATCATCATCATTGTATAAAGAAGGTATTAAAACAGTTAAGACCTTGTTGTATTTCCCCCCA